AAAACAAAAATGACTAATGGAATGAGACAAGCATTAAAAAAGGGGGGGTAGGGAGAACAAGAAATGGAAGAAGGCAGATATTGCTGATTTAAACTAAGTCAGCCTGGGAGCAACAGTACAGTGGGCAGTTTGCTTGCCTTGACACAGCCAACCCGTGTTCGATTCCCAGCATTCCATGTGGTCCCCTGAGCCCACCCATTGTGATCCCTGAGCACAGAGCCAGGAGTAAGCCTTGAGCACCACTGACTCGAATAAGATAGATAAAAAATATATAAATAAAGTAAGCCAGTTAGATTATACAGCAGGTAGAGTTCTTGCCTTGCATAAGGCCAGCTGGGTTGATGCCTGGCACCCTATATGAACCCCTAGAACCTTGCCGCAAGTGATCCCTGAAAACAGAGTGGGCCCCAAACCAAAGAAAAATCAAATAAGCCAGTTTGGGGGCCTAGTAATAGTTCTGTGGCAAACTGATTGCTTTCCAGGCAGAGGACCAAGCAACGATCCCTGGTTCCACCCCATGTGCCAGCCAGCATTACTCTTTGGAATCCCTGGCAGAAGAATGAAGCATGCAGTCCTGGGAATACCACCATGATGTGTGTACAAGTGCCACATCTGAGTGTGTAACCTCAGGTGAGCAAAAACAACAAGCAAAAACCCAAAGGGAGGAAAAAAGGAAAATAAAATAAACTCATTTGATCTCGTGGGACGCTTAGATGCTTTTGGCTAACAGACGCTTCAGAAGTTCAGAGACTAGACTTTGCCCTTGACCTCACCACCAGGCTTAGCGCAATCAGCAGTCATCAAATGATGCCAAATCATTTCACCAAACAAGCCCTCGAATGAGTGAGCTCACACCACTTCCTCCCACTCTCCCTTGCAGAGCTGAGGATGTCCCAACTCTGTGCCCTTTGGTGAAAGACTCTGTGAATGAACCAAATCCCAAAAGAGAATTTACTCCACTAATCCACTCTAAATTGGCTTCAAGCTATCAGAAATTTCATTTACTTGAGATTGGAGCTAGGAACCCCTATCTTTACAAGCCTCTGCCACTAGCCTAGCCAGATTCATCCACCAGGTCCAAGCATGGTGGAGAACTTTCTAGAATATTTTGGTCTTTCTGCACACCTGAAAACGGTCCGTTTCTAACAATTATCTGGCAAGTGCTACTACTTGCTCTGCTACTAACCAAAGTCTGTGTATTTGCTGTGCTAATTAGCAAGGTAGCTGGCAATAGCGAAAATAGAGTGATCCTTGCAGTACAAGGTGAGCTGGTCCTGCCTCATGTATTCATTCTTGATCAGAACAGGCGCTGTGTCTGGGTATCATTTCAGCTCAGAGGGTCATGTGGCTGGACTATTCCCAGTTAATTACAGCCCAGGGCAGGGAGGGTCAGAACAAGGACTCATTAGCTATTAGTGTGACCACCACAGAGAAGTCATATCTGTACTCCTGAACCCGGCTCCCTACATGGTGCTACCACTGTGTGTTCCTTTACAGACTGTCCATTCATGTCTACGGAGATCTCAGGATCTCCTTGGGTTATCAGGTCTGATTGTCCCAGGGAAAATTTAACGTGCTGTGGCAGAAAGCTGGCAATGTGGGGCACAGAGAAGATACATCTACAGAGACTTTAGGTTAACTCTGAAAGTCAAGACAAAAGAATCCTTCCCTTTGGTCTGTGAAGAACCTCGAGGTCATCTGGGTCTATTTCAGGGCGACACCCCATACCCCACTACTCCCATCCACCCCTGCCTCTACTGTAACTGACCCCAAGCAGATGAAAGTCCTGAGTCAGGACGGAACATGACTTTGATGCTTTATTTATTTATTTATTTTTGGCTTTGGGGCTGGAGCGATAGCACAGTGGTAGGGCGTTTGCCTTGCACGCGGCCGACATGGCCGATCTGGGTTCGATTCCTCTGCCCCTCTCGGAGAGCCTGGCAAGCTACCGAGAGTATCTCACCTGTACGGCAGAGCCTGGCAAGCTCCCCGTGACGTATTCAATATGCCAAACACAGTAACAACAAGTCTCATGATGGAGACGTTACTGGGCCTGCTTGAGCAAATCGATGAACAATGGGAGGACCATGATTTTGGCTTTGGGGTCACACTCAGTGATGCTTAGGGGTCACTTCTAGCTCTTAACTCAGGAATCACTGCTGGCGCTGCTCAGGGAAACATATGGCATGCGAAGGATGGATCCGTGTCTATTGCATGCAAACCACAAACCTTTTCCTCTGTACTCTCTCTGGTCCCTCGAGTCTTAAATGCTCTTGATTTGCATTGCCTCACACCTACAAGGATTTCACTCCCCTGTTTAAAATACACATTTCAGGGGCTAGAGCGATAGCACAGCAGGTAAGGCGTTTGTCTTGCATGTGGCCGACCCGGGTTCGAAGACCAGCTTCCTATGTGGTTTCCTAAGCACTGCCAGGAGTAGTTGCTGAGTGCAGAGCCAGGAGTAACCCCTGAGCATCGCTGGGTGTGACCCAAAAAGCAAAAAAAAATTTTTTTAATTAAAAATTTTAAAAAATACACATTTCTTATTTCAGCAAGGATGTAAGAAAGACACCAAAATCGCATGCTTTTCTTTCTTTTTTTTTTTTTTTGGCGGTGCCAGGAATTGAACCCAGGGCCTCACACATAGATCTACCACTGAGCCATAATCCCCATCCCTAAATGCTTGACTTTACGTATGTATTTGTCTTGGGACCACATCTGACAGTACTAGCGGCTACTCCCAGCTGTTTTCTCAAAGATGCTCAGCCAATCACGTGGGTGCTGGGGACCGAACCCAGAGCTCTGCAAGCAAAGCATGCACTTAACCCTTTGAGCTCTCTTTGTCTCCTGAATCCATGCTTCACTTAAAAATGATCAATGTAGGGACTGGAGCGATAGCACAGCAAGTAGGGCATTTGTCTTGGACATGGCCAACCTGGGTTCGATTCCCAGCATCCCAAACGGTCCCCTGAGTACCACCAGGAGTAATTCCTGAGTGCTGAGCCAGGAGTAACCCCTGAGCATTGCTGGGTGTGACCCAAAAAGAAAAAAAAATGATCAATGTAATACATATTTTTATCTACCAAGAATAGTCTACCTATTCCAACTGTATATAAGTTGGGCATGTGGGGGTGAGGTGGACCTGGGTCTCACTGCTTCGGTTCTGCTTCCTCCAGGCAGCCTTAAGTCTTAACTCTGAAAATAAAGTTCTCCTTTCTATAGAGGTGTGAATATTTTTATTAAAAATCAACAATATTTACAGAATGCTAAAAATTCACTGATGGGGCCAGAAAGATAGTACAATGGGTAGTGCACTTGTCTTGTACACGGTCAACCCTGGTTTAATTCCTGACACCATTTATGATCCCCAGAGCCCACCAGGGGTAACCCTTGCGCACAGAAGCAGGAGTACGCGCTGAACATCTTGACTGTTACCCAAAACCAAAACAAACAAACAACATTTCACTGGCTTAACCAATTGCTAAACTTTTGTAAAAACAAAACAGTCCATCACCTGTGGGATAGAGGCAGAATAAAGGAATAGACAGTACCGAGAGGGACCAAGCTCTAACCCTTGATTACAAAATGTATTAACTGACATGGGTTCAGGAATGGGGGGAATGAAGATGGGGGCAGAGGTGACATGAGGACAGTGATGGGGGGGTCTTGGGCATTTTGGTGATGATAGGGAGGGTGTTTGTACATGGAACTTTGTGATACAACTCTGTACATCAATACTATAAATATAAACACTATTGTAACCCTATTGCCAAAATTATAATTAAAAATTTACAAAAATACAGTAATTAATGGGCTGGAGTGATAGCACAGTGGGTAGGGCGTTTGCCTGGCCGACCCAGGTTCAATTTCTCCGCCTCTCTCGGAGAACCCAGCAAGCTACTGAGAGTATCTTGCCTGTATGGCAAAGCCTGGCAAGCTACCTGTGTTGTATTTGATATGCCAAACACAGTAACAACAAGTCTCACATTGGAGATGTTACTGGGCCCACTCGAGCAAAACGATGAGCAATGGGAGGACAGTGACAGTAGCAGTGACAGTAATTAATAAATAAAAAACCCATGAGATGTGCCATTGTTAAGGGTCTTGAGGCCCTCTCATACCCTCAAGAAGAAAGGAGGCTTTAGAAGGAGCTGTTGCCTTTGAAACTGACCACACATGCTGGGGGAGAAGGCAGCTCAGATAGAGAAGGGAACACAAAGTAAAGGATGTTGGGAGGAACCATTTGGGTTGAAAGATGTATGCCGAAAGTAGACTATAGACTGAACACGATGGCCACTCAATACCTCTATTGCAAACCACAACACCCAAAAGGAGAGAGAACAAAAGGGAATGCCCCTGTCGAAAGTGGACTATGGACTGAACATGTTTGCCACTCAATGCCTCTTTTGCAGACCACAACACCCAAAAGGAGAGAGAGAACACAGGGGATTGCCCTGCCACAGAGGCAGGGGGGGATGGGGGGATGGGGGTGGGGGGGATATTATCCATGGTGGTGGAAAATGGGCACTGGTGGAGGGATGGGTATCTGATCATTGTATAATCAAACCCAAGCACAAAAAATTGTAAATCTACAACTGTACCTCATGGTGTTTCACTAATAAAAAAAAATTTAAAAAAAAAAAAAAAAGGGAATGCCCTGCCGCAGAGGTGGGGGGGGGATGGGGGGATGGTGGGAGGGATACTGGGAATATTGGTGGAGGAGAATGGGCACTGGTGGAGGGATGAGTAAATGATCATTGTATGGCTGAAATGCAAACACAAAAGTTCGTAAGTTTGTAACTGTACCTCACAGTGATTCACTAATAAAAAATAAATGAAAAATTTAAAAAATAAATTAAAAAAAAAGAAGGGGCTGCATATGAATCCTAAAATATCAACAGCTTTGTATTTTTTTCTATGAAAGAAAACTTTCAAAAGGATAAAAACATCTGTATTTTCTTTAGGAACCAAGGATCTTTACGTCATAAGGACATATTTACCTTATTTGGGATTTAGTGCATCGTAAGAAAATCGTGAGTAAGAATTCTTGACGCTGCTTGTTGGTCCAGAGGTCAAACCAATGACTTACAAGAGCAACTCTTTCCTGAAAGAGCTATAAGGAAGAAAAAGACATTGCCTGTGTAGTTCAAGAAAATACCCGTCGCCAAGCAATGGGTGGCAATCTGGCCACCCCACAGCTAATGTTTGCAGGGCACATGACCTTTCCCAGGGCAGTGTTTCTGTGGTACCTGGGGTCTCCTCTTGCAAGTTAAACCGATTTGCTCCCCGAGCAACAGACGAGCCTGGGCTTGTAGGTGGGCTGGAGGGAAAGGTTGAAGGTGTACGGAGGTGGAGGTAAGGAGAGAAGCATTAATTATGGGGGGGAGGGGGAGGTAGGAAAACAGGTTTGGAAAACAAAGAGGTCATGAATCCTGACTCTTGTTTCAACCTGTGCTTAACGTGGCCGGGGGAAACAGATTCCAAATGGTTCCTCTTGGAAACACATTCCAGTTCCATTCCTTTCCCAGGGAAGCAAGGCCCGTGGGAGGGTGCTCTTGAACCAACCCCAGGGCGGTAGCCCCCCCCACCACCCCCCAACTGAGACACACACACACACACACACACACACACACACACGCTAGACCCACTGTATGGTGCATACCCTGCTGTCCCCGTAAGCAGCCTGATTCCCCGTAAGCAGCCTGATATCCCAAAGGCATATTTTTTAATTTGTTTATTTATTTATTTATTTTTGTGTTTTTTATGTTTATTTTATTTATTTTTTTTAATTTGATATTTGATATGCCAAAGGCAGTAACAAGTCTCACAATGTTACTGGGTCCACTTGAGCAAATCGATGAACAACGGGAGGACAGCGACAGTGACAGTAACAGTGACATTTAAATTTTTAAAAGATAGGAGTTGAGTCTTGAATGATGAAAGAACCTCCTTTGGGGCAGGCAACATATAGAGTAATATAGAGCCCAGTAAATACAGTAAACTAATCTTACAAGTAAAACTTGTTTTATTCCAGAACGTAACACTTACCTGTCTGTTTAATGACTTATTACAAAAAGGTGTCCAGGCACTGAACCTAGTGTGGAAACTCTCCATTTCCAAGGTTTTCCTGGAAGAATCTGAAGCTGTCATTTCATCAGTTTGATTTCTTCCAGTCCTAGGAACTAGACATTCAAATAGTTTTAATAAACCTGGATTCACTTTGGTTTAAGTGCAAAACTAGATATATATCCAATGTATCAATGTGACACTTCTAAAAATTACAAGTCATTTATATCTACAATAGATAAATGATAAGTATTGCTATACACAGCTATCTCCACAAAAGATCATGGTCGTCCCGTTGCTCGAGCAGGCCCAGTAACATTGTGACACTTGTTACTGTGTTTGGCATCTGGAATACATCACGGGGAGCTTGCCAGGCTTTGCCGTGTGGACGAGATACTCTCAGTTGCTTGCCGGGCTCTCCGAGAGGGGCGGAGGAATCGAACTCGGGTCAGCCATGTTGGCTGCGTGTAAGACAAACACCCTACCCACTGTGCTATCGCTCCAGCCCTCCACAAAAGATAATCCATACTAATATACCCAGGGAGTTCATGAGCTCTGAATCACTGTGGCTTCAACAAATTAGATGGGAAAGTAACATAGAAGCCAAGTAAACTCAACAAGCAAAAACAATAACAGACAAGGCTCAACTAGCAACAAACATCTTAGTAAACCTTCAGACAAGGATTTAAGAAAACTTGCTGTGAGATATAACAATTTTCTTTTATTTTTAACTTCTTTATTTTTAGCTTTTTGGGTCACACCCGGTGATGCACAGGGGTTACTCCTGATTCATGCACTCAGGTATTACTCCTGGCGGTGCTCAGGGGACCATGTGGGATGCTGGGAATCAAACCCGAGTTGGCCATGTGCAAGGCAAATGCCCTACCCGCTGTGCTATCACTCCAGCCCCAACAATTTTCACGTAGAAATTGATTTTTTAAACTTATTGATTTTAATATTGTAGCTTTGTTATGTAATCAAGTTCAACTTGAGTTGTTTCAACAGTTATGGCTTTTGTCTATATTTAAAAAATTAAAATTTAAAATAATAAATAGAAAGTTATCCTAAAAAATATCACTATGATTTAATATCCTCATCTACTTACCTCATCTACCCACAAATGAAACCAAACCAGAGGCCTATTTTTATTTCTTACTCTATGGGGAAGATAACAGAGAAACTAGAACGACTCTTTATCGGCCAGGAATACTGACTTCCTTACCCTAGAAAGAATCCAAATGATTCAAAGACAGCATTCCATTTGCCTGCATTGGAGGGGAGAAAGAGCAGGCCACAGCTCACTGCTAAATTGGCACCACATACTTCACCAGTTACGGCCAGAAAAGCCCATGAGCCAGAAGTAGCCCATGAGCACCACTGGGGGTGACCCTCTCCCCCAAAAAAGCAAAACAAAAACCAAGACCCCTTCCATGTCAAAGCTTTTGCGGGTCAGGAATCCAGGCACAGCCTAGTGGCATGTCATATTCATGGGCCAGGGCTCCCGTAACTGACACGCCAGACGGAGTGTCTTGAACCATGAAATCTGTTTGCTCACAGTCCTAGAGATCAGAAGTCCAAGATGAAGATGCCATCTGAGCTGGTTTCCAAAGAGATTTCTCTTCTCACCATGTGCTCACAGGGTCTTCTTTTCATGGAGGAAGGGGGAGGCAGACGGAAGGGGAAGAGAACTTTGTCTTCCTCATCCAAAAATAGGGAAGCTTATTTTCTCCTAGAGGTTGTTTGGGTATTTATCACATCATGCACAGAGCATATAATACAGGTAGACTGCCACAGGCATCAAAGAGGAAAAGCTATATCTGTCCTATCATGCACCAAGACCAGAACATATGATTTCATATGTCCTTGGATGGCCCTTGGGCCAGACCTTGCCCACTCCCTGTTGGAAAGACACTAGTTGTATTGGTTTAGGACCTTACCCTTATACCCCCATTCGACTTTTAGTACTTCTTTATAGACCCTATCTCCAAATTCAATCACATTGGTGGTGAAAATCTGAAATGTGATTTGGGGGGTGGGTGAGGGGCGCAATTCAGTCCATGACTGATACTTCTGCTTCAGGGGGTCCTTTGAGGCTCCCATCAAGGTGTTGGCCAGGACCACAGTCTCATGTGCAGGATTTGATGCTGGTTGCCCAGACTATGGGCAAGTTTCAGATGCTCCTGGGATGTGGGGCTGAGGCCTCAGTCTCAGTGGCTGCTGATCAAGGCCTCCCTTTCCTTCACTATCCTGGGGACCTCTCCACGGGGCAGTAGCTTCCATTTGAATGAGCAAGTGAAAAATCAAGAGAGGACGCAAGAAGGCGCCCCAGACTAGAATCCCACTCCAGAAGGGAGAACCTATTCCTTTTGCTTCATTCTATTAGTCAAATGTGAGCCACTATGACCAACTCACACTCAAAGGGAGAGAACTGGATATAGAGCACCAACAGTAATCCAGTTCCTCAGCGCAAGCTTTGAGGCAGTTCTCCTTTCCCACACCCAGAACACATAAATTGCTATTATTTACTGTGCAGCAAACACAGTAAATAATAACAATTTCTATTTCTGAATTCTTGCTGAGTCTGGGATGATTTGTGAGTGACCACAGATTGACCATTCTCTATGTTGGTGAGTGCCCAGAACTCTCCCACACACTTTCTGGTAAAAGTGGACATTGGTATAAGTGATTTGAAGATGTTTAACGTCATTTTATAAAATTGAGAAGACATAGTCGCTGGAGAGATAGTAGAGTAGGCACAGCACTTGCTTTGCATGTGGCAACCATGTTCATTACTGGGCACCTATGGTCTCCCAAGTCCTGCCAGGAGTGATCCCTGAACTCACAGCCAGGAATAAGCTCTGAGAACAGCCAGGTATAGACCAAAAAATGAAGAGAGAAAGAGGAAGAGAGGGAGCAAACGAGGGAGGGAGGGAGGGAGGGAGGGAGGGAAGGAAGGAAGGAAGGAAGGAAGGAAGGAAGGAAGGAAGGAAGGAAGGAAGGAAAAATGCCTATGCTTGACCTAAAAGAAAAGTATGCACACATGAATCAAATATATGAACATAAATATTCACAGCTAAATCAGATAGCTTCAAATGAGAAACAATCCTCACATCCATCCACAGTCAGACTGGTAAATGTATTATCACCAACTCTTTAGAAAATAGCAATAGAATATTATACATCAATAATCTGCTACTAGGCCCACAATACCAATGAGTCACACACATAAAGCATCAAGCAAAGACAGAAACAACATAATGTTTTGAATGGTTTTATTTACACAGTTCTATACTACTGTGTTAGATGTTAAGATGTTAAAGTTCTACCAGTGCTTTATATTTCCTTTGGGAAGGAAAGAGGGAGTATTGAGGGTCCAGAGAGATGGTTCAGAGGGTAAGGCATTTGCCTTGCACGTGGCTGACTCAAGTTTAATCCTGATACTGCAGATGGTCCACTGAGTGCTGCCCATGGAGCCAGGGGTAGCCTCTGAGCACTATTGGGTATGACCCTCCCAAAGCAAAATGAAACCAAAAAAAATACACCCAAAACAACAACTAAAAGGCTCAATTAAACTAGTAAACATTCCCACCAGCAGGTCCCTTTTCCCCCACATTGATTGATTTAGTTCTTTGTGATGTGTACCAGTCTCACTGGTGTGAACTAATATCTTACTGTTTTTTATTCATATTTTTCCTAACAATAAGTGATAAAGAACCTTTTTTTAAAACTTTTTGCCATATGAAAGTTTTTTTCATCTCTTCCTTTCATTTTTTGATGGGGTTGGTTCTTTTTTTTTCTTTCTTGTAAAGTTCTACCAGTGCTTTATATATCCTGAATATCAATCCTTTATCAGGCGAGTAGTGGGAAAGTATTTTCTTCTAGTCTATTGGTTGTCTTTTTATTCTGGTAATTGTTTCCTTGGCTGTGCAGAAGCTGTTTTGTTTGGTATACTCCCATTTTGTTATCTTTGCTTCCACTTGCTTGACCAATGGCATTAAATAATTGAAGATACTCTAGATTCAATGTCATTAAGTTTTTACCTAAATTTTTTTATATAATTTATGGATTCAGATTTGATGTCAAGGACTTTAATTCATTTTGATTTGACTTTTGTGCATGGTGCTAGAAGGGTATTAGAATTCCTTTTTTTTTCTTCATGTGACGGACTAGTTTTCCCCAACACCATTTGTTGAAGAGGCTCTCCTTTCTCCATTTCATACCTTTAGCTCTTATATCAAAGATTAACTATCCATACATCTCAGGAGCTATCTCTGGACTCATAATTCTATTCCATTGGGCTAAGAGTTTGTCCTTAGTCCAGTACCATACTGTTTTGATTACTATAGCTTTATAGTACAGTTTAAAGTGGGGAAAAAGAAGTCTTTCATCATTTTCCCCCCTAGGATTGCTCTGGCTATTTGGGCTAGTGTTGGTAGAGGTGGGAGTAGGTTTATTATTCCATATAAATTCCAATCTCATTTGATCCAAATCTATTTTTTAAAGTCTAGGTATTCTATTTTAATTTGGTTGTGGGGTCATACCTAACTGTCCTCAGGGCTTACTCCAGGTTCTTAGCTCAGGGATCATTTCTGGTGGGCTTAGGAGACCATTATGTGGTGCCGGAATTTGAGCCTGGGTTTGCTGCATGCAAGGCAAATGCCTTACCTGCTGTACTATCTTCAGGTCCCTGTTATGGGTATTTTGATAAGGTCTACATTGACTCTGTTATAGTCTTTGGACAAGATTACCATTTTGACAATATTAATGTTTCCAATTCAGAAGCAGGGGATGTGTTTCTATTTTCTGATATACTCTTTTATTTCTGTAAGTAGTATTTGTAGTTTTCTTTATCTAAGTCCCCTCTTTCGTTAAGCTGATTCCAAAATACTTGATTTTCAGAGGCACAATTGTGAATGGGATTAATTTTTAAATTTCTCTTCTTTCATAATTCACATATAGAAAAGTCTTGAATTTCTCAATACTGATTTTGTAATCTGTCACTTTACTATACAAATTTATTGTTTCTAGGAGCTCTTTTGTGGAGACTTTAGGATTTTCTAAGTATAAAATAACATGTCATCTGCA